CCTTCACTAATGTCCTCAGGGTCTTTAGACACAACTTCAATCTATTCAGTGCGAAAGGGTCCGATGACCCCTTGTATGAGTTATTGCCCTTTAATGTCTTTGCGCTTACTATTAAACCTTATAACTTTAAAACCAAAAGTCGTAGAAGCATGGGGTCAAGTGAAATGTGACCCTTGACCTTTGACCTTTAATATTTATTCAAGGTCAAAGGTCAAGGTCTTTTCGAAATTTTTAAAATTTTCATTTTTTCCATTTTTCAAGCAATTTCTGGTTTCTCTTGTAAAAAAAAAAATAAACAGTAGAGAGTTAAATATGAAGAATATATGAATTTAAAGAAGGTGGAAAGACCTCTAATTGTTCGAGAACAATTAGTCTCCTAGTTTGTTATATACCCTTCTTTGCATTCAAAAAAGTTTTAATGGCCAAATTTTTATCATATTAGATTAAATGGGTGTAAAATGTAGGCGGGAATCGAGAGTTAATGTGCGTTGTTCTTTACAGTTCATAATTAAAGGACCTATGTTTTCTTTCATTTTCTTTCAACATTCATAGCAGAGAGAAAAAATAAATGCTTTTCTTGTATAGTTTTTCGAATACTTTATGTTGTCAAAGTAACTGTAGAATGTGGGTCACGGTTGATATTTTTACCGAACTACTTAAATGGTCTTGCTTAGAGTTGTAGTGACAGAGAGAGAGAGAGAGAGATTCCCTGTTCAACCCCCCCCCCCCCCCTCCTGTATCTGATTCGAAGAAATAATATTTAATTTAACCTTTAACTGGTCTTGTCTAGAGTTGAAGTATATGTAAGTGTGCAAAAGGTTTGCTTTTCCTGAGGACGACTGCTTACAAATTTCATCACCTATTGATATTTATCACTGTATAAAAAAGAAAAAAATAAAGGTTATGAAATTGTATAAAAATTTATATTTTAAATGAATACATCGGCAGACTTTGTGGACTTCGATAGCACAATTGAGCAGTTGAGACGAAAATCACAATTAAATGAATGCGTGGAAGGGTGTGACATTAAAACTCACGAGAAATAGTCGATGCAGTTAAGCTTGAAAATGCTAAATAACTGATGTATATAGATAATGATGCACAACTACGGTTAGCACATATTCTATGGTGTTTGTAACCTCAACGTTTTCATTGTAGAGTCTATTTTACGCGTAAAGATCTTACACAAGCATATTTGATATATATACCACACTATTAAGCCTGTATTACTTTACAGCTTTGAAATATATAGGAAATACTTAATGTTGATAATTCAAAAATAAAACAGTCTGATGACGTATATTGATACTACTGTACTACAAATACTTTATAGGTGAAACTTTACACCTCAAATTTTTAAAACTATACTGGGTTTGAATAAGAAATGCTTCTTCTGAACTGAGTAGATGTTCTTTATATTATGACATTGTTAACAGATTACTTAGATACTGCTACACATTATAACATTTAACGACAGAATTTGATGTATTCATCGAAGGAATTTCATGTCGCTCAAAAAACAACTTGGTATTCCTTCATAGAAAAATTATTTAAGATTCTGGGATATTCAAAACATGACAAATACTAAAAGTAAATTTGTAACTTCATTAAAACAATCTCAGATTAATAAATACAGTATTTAACAAATTGGAACAATAACTTTTCCATATAACTAATTTTGCTCAACAAAAATTTACATAGATATCTGAAAAAGGTGGATAAAAGACCGTGCTAATGGATAAACTGCAAACTGTTTACACCACAGGCATCTGACGAATGGTTGATGTAACCCCCCCCCCCCTTCTGAGAATTTTATTTAGACACGATAACTTAGCAAATATACACGAATTCCTAGTCTATCATACCAATACTTAATTAAATGGGAAAATACATTCATAGAAAATGCTCAGTTATTTTATCTAAAATTATAAGCTAAGAATGCTATAATTTATTACAAATTGAATAATATAATGTAGATTTCAATTTATTTTATTTCTAAGGGAAGATCATTCTAACTCCATACAGATACCGCGGAATTTGAACTCATAAGTACACATTGTATGTGTAGAGAGTCCTTATGTCTCGTAATTATTTTATAATAAATAATACTGAAATTCAAAGTCGATCTTTAATTTAATTAAAAGTCTGTAATTTACTCTTTTTTGGACAATTTGTATGCTGCATGCCAGCGTCTGCGAGATATCTCCCAAAAAAAAAAAATAAATAAACCGACTTTGATTACTTTTGTTAAGGAAAATGTTTACCCTTGGCCAAGAAAATACCTGTATTCGTTTTTATTATTGATTATAATGAAAGAGATAGCTATTTTTGCATATAAACACATTACATGACCAAAGAAAGACCACTCAAGTTATACGGACTTCATGGTTTTGAGATTTTAAAGCCCCAATTGGTTGATATGTACGTTTTCCCTTCATTTCCACTGTACATAGGTGATCTACATTGGTCTCATCACTCGCAGGCTTATGGCTGCACTTTCCTCCCCCCCCCCCCTAAAATTTAACCCCCGAAAATTGCCCAAAAAATGAATTCATTTTTTTTTCTTTTATAAGGTACAAATTCCAACTTTTTACAAGACCGTTTCTAAGACTTCAAAGAACCTTGAATCATATCAAGGTGCATAAAATGAAAATTGTTGCACGAAAAGATCTCAATTTTAACCTTCATTTTGAGACTTTTCAAATAAAATCAATTTAAGAGTTATCCTTCCTGGGGATCGAATATCCTTAAATCGAATTTGATTTTTTTTTCTGAATGCAAACCATTGTTTTATTGTTTTTGTAACATATATTGCAACTGCATGATTTTTATTTTATAAATAGCATGTGGGTGGTTGACCGTTCTTCGAATTAATGCATTCTATATAATATAAATTCGTTGCTCTGTATCATTATCGTTGAAAACTGCGTTTATTCCAGGGACCCGTTTCACAAAACTATCTTATGACTATGATCTGTCTTAAGACCGAAAATTCTCGTAAGATTGCAACATAGCTGTTTCACAAAAATTCCCATATCTTATGATAATCTTTTATATCATTTAATGAAGCTTTACACTATGACAGACATGTAATGAGTTTTTTTTTATCACAATATTGTCATTTATAAATGACAATATATAATGAAATAATTCTTATCTGAATAAAAGATCTATCTTCATCTTAAAACAACTACATACCTGTCTTAAGTCTAAAGTGAACATGACGACAGTATATCTTTTGGCGAATAATTATGCCAAAAATACTATACGATAGAAAACATAAAATTTACCTACGTTATGGTTGTGCCTAATTATTCTTTTCAAGGCATTTTGTTTGCTTGTGCCACCTCCCAACTGAAATTGCACCCCCCCCCCCGGCCCCCAGAACTTGCATTTTTCGGCCATGTATACATGTACGTAAAATACAGATATCATTTATAACTTCATTCAAAATTATTTAATTTGGAATTCATCATATTTTCATCATATCATCAGATATTTTCTATTACCTAGCATCGCTACTTATGCAATTTTGAAATTGACGAACAGAATTCCAGATATGTGTAGTTGATTTATTGAAATGTTAAGTAAATACATTTCAAATAAATAAGAAAAAGAAATATATGCATTTTTATGATTTGGACAAGTCCTGCCAATGAAAGTAATCAAAATCGAACTTTGGTGTAACCAACCACCCTGCATTTTTAAGACGTTTTAGATTAATTTGTTTTGTAACATTGTGGTGATTTTTTTTTTCTAGAAACTAAACATGTCTTTCAGTCTTACACAATTAGATGAAAATCAAATAGTAAGTTCTTGAGGTACCCCCATTAATCCACCGCAATGTTTGTGAAAACTCAATATAATTACTGCTAAACCATTTGATGCTACATGTTTTCTTCATAACATTTGAAACTGTTGAAATTCTGATTGGAAAATGTTCTTTTGTTTCTCTACTTCGTCTGTAAGCAGTATTATTTCGTTGCAGTAGTTCAGCGTTTCAGAGACACCTTCATTTTTATGAACGATCCGGGGGGGACTTTGAATACGAGTTGGTGTATTTGAAAACTATTCCGGCATTATTTGCAAAGGCATAAATGCAGTAGTGGATTTAATCAAAAATAGTATCACATACATTTTGTCAGCAAAGTTCAAAGTCTTTATTATTTTCTGAGCAAAAAGACATTTTGATTTTTAAAACAAAATTATTCAATAATTTTTTTGTCATGAAATTTATTCAAATTAGCTTTTCTGAACACCCCCCCCCCCAAAGTACATGCATTGAAACTGATGCGATAAAATGGTTTTATGAGAGAATAACTGCAAAAGAAATTATTTGAGACACACTATTATTTCAATATTTTAAAGAAAATGAAAGACAGCTAAACTTCGTGTAAACATATATTTTTTATAAATTTCCTTGTAACAATGAAGCATGAAATTTGTCTTAAGACTTGTGAGATTTCTTATACTTAAAATAGTTTTGTGAAACAGCAGTGACAAATCTCATGATTGTCATAAGTCAAATCGTAAGATTATCTTAAGATCTATCTCAGGACAAATCTTACGATAGTTTTGTGAAACCCGAGCCAGGTTAATATTATGCTACGAACTATATGTATGAACATGTTTTAAAATGTTTTTCGCAGAATTTTTGATTTTTTTTTTCAAACGAAATTAATAATTTGCCTCCACAAAACACAGTTAAATCTTTTTGTTGCTAAAATTATAAACCTATTTCTTTCGTCGAAAAAAAATTAATCTTGTCATTTAGAAGAATCCTGCTTGGCAGTGATTTTGTCGAACATAAAATCAATAATCAGCGAAATCATAAAGGATTCATTTAAATGTTTACCCACAAGTCATGTTATCGCTCAAGAAAATCAATTAAATTGTTTTCCTATAAAATACCTGTATTCTTTATATTGTTTTGTTTGCTTTTTTGCGCGAAATTCGATTTCAGACACAGCCCAATCAATGAACCTGATTTAATCACGTGATCACATTCAATATGGAGGTCAAGAAATGATTTGAGACAGTGGTGTGCACAGAGTGCATTTTGATTGACACGGTTTCAACAAATTATTATATATACAGGTAAGTAGATGAACTGTGTTTGCTATGGTTTGATTATAAGTTCCAACTCTCAGCTCTAAATCTGTGAGTATCGATCTTAAACGTAGACTCGTATCAATTTGTGAATGAAAAGTTGTTAGAAGGATTGGTGTCAGTAAATGTAGGTCTTTATTGTGACGTGTGAGGAGTCAGATGGATTGATTGATGCACTTTATTAGAGAGGTTAGGTTTTATTCTATAATTTTCCTTCTGAGTTGTCAATTATGTCAATATAACGGTGACAAAAGTTTGTAGACAAAGCGAAGGAATGTTGTTTACATGGAGAAACTCGTTTTTTTCTTAATAGGCAGGTTGCTTTTGTATAGAGTTATAATATTATGAACCATTAACAGTAATGCATTGCTAATTGTGTCTCTCTTTAGAAGATATGTTATAAACTCTAAACATTTACAATCATCAATGTTTGTAGCCATTGTGGTACTTGTAGGAGTTACCTCCCCTTGGCTTCAATGTCCAATTTGTTTATAGGCCTAATTTCATGAAACAGAAAGATGCACTCAATCAAACATTACTCATTGTATATGATTTTCACATAGAAATTTGTTGATGCTGTAGTCAAACTCTGACTTGCACAGATTAAAAAATGATCCATAAAACATGCAGAACTTGTTTCCAATATAGGTGGTGCCAGTGGTGGTGTGTGTGTGTGTGTTTGCGAAGGAGTGGAGAAGGGGGGGGGGGGATTTATAATCAGAAAATTTTCAGAAAATATCAATCATGATTAATATTAATATTTTGCAAGAATTTTGCTATAGATACAGGTACTGTGATTTTTTTAAGTAATAGATTTAAAACATCTTTTTAAAACTTAAGAAAATTTTATTTCAGTATATCTTAATTTTTTTCTCAATTTTTTCCCCTCCTTTTCCTAATTTTCATATTCCTATTTTTTAATATTTTTCTCAAATAATCCTAATTTTTTTTCTCCCTAACACTCGGGGAGAAATTTGGATGGACCATCAGATGTTGTACACTTCAATATGTCAATATTGTAACAGTTGCATTTGGTAGCTTGCTTGAAAATGTGTGTAGTTGTTCCAGTACTATTTCCTTTATTCTTGTTGATTTAAAAATTACAAGGCTGTCCAAGTGTAGATCATATGTACTATGTCATCATTGTTTTAACATCATTACATGTGATGGAAATCTGTATTGTCTGTAATTGTTTCACTAAAAAATCACTTTAATCATGTTAATAAGTAATAAAGTTATATATTTAACATGTTTAAGAGTTTGATTCTTATAAAAGATTGGGATATTTTCAGGAGGGATGAGATTGCTTCTTTAAAAAAGTTAATTTGATTAATAAAATTTGTTATATTAATTTCTGATAATAAATTTTAGTAAATTGTAATCGTTTACTTCTGATATACATGCAAAATAAAGAAATAAATAAAGGCGTGGAATATTTCAAAATTATTTTCTATACCTTGAAAATTACCACCAAAAAAAAAAATGAAGATGCTAGCAATAATATGAATAGCTGTAGTTTATAGGAGCTCATTAGTTTTGGTAGCTTCAGGCACAGAGTAGAGAAATATGTACATTGAACCTCCTGTTTATAAAGTTCATATTTTAAAGAAGATTTGCTTTGTTTGTAGCCTTGAAAATTAATTTAGCAAATTACAAATTTTTTTATATCCTTTTTCATATTAGATTGATTTTGAAAGGGATAAAAGTTTAAATGTGGTGCCAGTTATGTTTTATTAATTGGGGGGAAAAAATCATATACATTTTTAAAAAAAAATGTGGATACTTTCACAGATTATAGTTAGCATTGTTAGTCAGGTGACTGAAAATGAGAATATATATCAGAGAGAGAGAAAAAATAATGATAGAATATCATAGAGAGAGAGAAAATATGAATGATAGACATGAGTGAACCTGCAGCAGATATCGGATAGTGTGATTATAGGAACTGTGTGATTTATAACAATAAATAATATCCTTATGTTAGCTCAATATTCATGTTCTGCCTATAAATGGTTTTGTAAGTACCATGTCCATCCTCTTGCATACCCTTTGCTATCATTACAAAACAACTGAATGAGTGAATCTTCTGAGGTTTTACACTCCATTTAGTCCGTAACAAATTCTTTAACAAGTGTTACGTATGTGGTATGTAATTTAAACAACAAATTCTGTAAAAAGCATGTATGGTATGTAATAAATTCTGTTGTAACAACAAATTCTGTAACAAGTGTATGTGACAATAAGGGTATATGTAATTCTGTCTTCACAACAAGCCTAGAGAAAAGAAAACTTAGTGAATCACCCTCTGATATTTGAGATTTTGTCAAATAAAATTAATATTCATTGTGTTAGACTGCAAAGTTTTCTCTCTATAACCTTGATTTAAACCTTGCATTCTATTTCTCCTATTCATACTTTGAATGAGATAGAGTTTTAGGGTAGAGTTTAAATGGAACAAAAATGATTGAGCAATATTATTAAATGTTGAAAATTGTGAATTGCACCTGCATCAAATGACTTCATTTGAGCAAGCGAGCGTTTTGCACATCATGACAATAGAATGGTCTTATCCACAATCTTACTTGGCTACTAACATAATAGTGTTGTTTGACTTCTGAATGTTTGTTTAGGACCAGCTTTTTATTTGGACCTTTAAATTTGATCAATCTGGCAAGCACCCAATCTGCTATTTACAAGCTTAAAAATCATTCAACACGATAAGCAGACCATCGCTGAACCCTTTGTAATGGGTAGCTAAGGATTTGTGATTTTCTTTTCTTCCAATACCAGGCTAATTGTGCTACACTTTTATGATAAATTCTCCATAATGTTTTGAAATTGATTGAATGCATGTACATAGATATTTGATGTTTTTCTTTGTCCAGTCTTTTAAATGATATTGAACACTTTAAATGCTTTGTCGTGTGATATCAATAATAAAGTCTGATATACAACCTGATCACAGATTTATCTTCACTCAATTAAAAAACAAAATACATGTGTAACGGTTTAAAGTCTGCCCATGTAATTGAGTTCTTCAATCAAATTTAGGTAAGAAAGACACTGAAAAACATTAATGAGGTGTGGAGGTGATTAATCTGAAAGATTGGGGGGGGGGGGGCATATTGATGTGGTTTATGCTTATAGTTTTTCTTGTATTAATTAAAGTAATCGTACATTTTATAATTTTTAATAGTTCATTTTATTTCACTTGAAAAGTCTTTTATGATCTTCCATCAATCTTTCGCAGTTTTTGTTTTATTTGGTCTGATTGGTGGCCATTTGTTCAAAATATTACTAACTTTTTCAGAACATTTTAGTGTTTTTCACACAGTAACCCCCCCCCCCCCCCCCCCCGGAAAAAAAAAATCACCAACCCAGTACAATGAGTCTTTTAAATCATTGATTGATTATAAATACTAATTATCACAATTACTAGAAGTTTTTTTTTTCCCTTGCAGGTCTGTACTATTGTTAATAACTGTGTTTGTCTCCCTTGAAATTCTGTTTAGTTCTATTGGTATAGAAGTCAATGACCTTTGTTAGAAGTTTTTTTTTTTTTGGTTTGAAATTAAAGTTGAATGCTCTGAACTTATTATTTGTCAGCCATTTTTATCAAGATAAAGAAAGCTGTGATATTTCATACATACATGATGTCATTTTAGATTTTTTCTAGAGATGTGGACTTGGATTATTCCATCATGTCTACTGGGTCAGTCCCTATCTTAAGAGAACACAGATTACTAGTGGTTTAGTAGTCTAGAATTTGTAACCTATATTGTTTTGAAATAAAAACAATAGTTTGGTTAAATTAGAGGCAGTGTTTAATGGGGAGAGAGATATGTAATCTAAGATTTCTGGCTGTGAGGAGCCATGCAAGATCAGCAGGGTGTAGGGGAGGGGCTGGCTTCCTCCACATATTGTTATCATTAGAGCCATTATTATATTACAAAATTTTTCACATTTTACAGTGAGACAATTTCCCAGCTGAGTTGCTACTGTTGTTCATAGTTTTTATGATCTTGTACACCATACAGAAACACAAGTCTATGTTAAGTTGAATCTCAAGACTTTGACTTACATTTTCTTGAAATTGTACAAAATGTGAATATTGTAGGTTAATTAAATTTATTTGTTGTTTTTCATTAATCATGTTAATTGCTCAGTGTTATATTTAAAGATCTTACTACAAGAAATCTATGTTCCTGAGTCTGGTGACATAAGAAAACTTTTTGAAACCTTTTGACATCCAGAGCAGGACGTTTAGAGATATATGTAAAATCAAATGACCTAAGAAATCTACAGAATATTAAAGATCAGACTATGAATAGGTCAATTTGCATTGCAAATTATCATATTAAATTTTGTTAACAATTTCTGGGTTCCCATGCGTAACTACAGGTGATAGTACAAACCAATATTTAAATGAATTGTTCCAGGAAAAAGTGTCCCTTGTACACATGTACATCATGTACCAGTGAAACCCTATGCTTTATCACTGCATACCACATTTGTAAACTACATTGTTACAGTAACTGAACTTAATCAGTAGACCGAGCATTAGGGATCTTACCAAAGACAGTGACATACCTGCATGTTTTTGTCAGGGATGAGTGTAAAGTAAATCTAAAATATGTGTCTTTTGGATGTGATGCTGACTTTGATAATAATTGATCAATTCATTGAAGATGATAAAGAATTTTGTACAGGTCGACTCTGAGGTGCTTTTGTACAGTTCTGCTCTGAGGTGCTTTTGTACAGGTCTGCTCTGAGGTGCTTTTGTACAGATATTTTGTGAGGTGCTTTTGTACAGGTCTGCTCTGAGGTGCCTTTGTACAGATATTTTGTGAGGTGTTTTTGTACAGTTCTGCTCTGAGGTGCTTCTGTACAGGTCGGCTGTGTTTTCTGTTATGAGGTGCTTTTGTACAGGTCTGCTGTGTTTTCTGTTGCGAGGTGCTTTTGTGCAGTTCTTCTCTGAGGTGCTTTTG